TAAGTTGAGGGCTACTTGTATATCTACTTTTTGGAAAGATCTGCTGGTGATTCTTTTATCTGTGTTCTTGACCAAATTTATTGGGTTGGAGTTATTTGTTTCGACCACATACTGGAATAGCCACATCCTGGTCAAGATTGTCAGGTCTGGGTTTGGAGCTTTTTTTATTTGTCTCCAGTTTTTTTCTATTTCTTTTTTCTTTTTGGAATAGACTGCTACCAGGATTACACTTGGATTCTAGTTACTTTAAAAAAAAACACTAAAATCTTTTTCATAAGATTCTAGGAAATTGCTTTAAAACTAATAACTATTATTTATTTTCCAATTTTATATGAAAGAGGATAATGTTATATGTTATGGACCTTTTAGTTTAATTGAGTTATAGTATAATATTGTATGAATTTGCATTTTATTCAGTGTCTAATTTTGCCTAATTTTATGTGCCTAACAAATAAAGCTATTACTCTTTTACAGGCGGGGTGAATTATTTTACAGGTAATTAAAGAGGGTTGGGTGTCTATGAATGTGTGCCTCCAAATCATTCCTGACCCATGCTGATGCCAAGACATATCTCTGCAGTTTTCTTATCAAGATTCTCAGGAGTGGTTTGTCTTCTTTGGGCTGAGAGCAACCAGCCCAAAATCAGCCCGCTGGCTTTCTATATAAGGCAGGACTAGAACTTGCAGTTTCCTGATGTCTTAAACCTCTTTGCGAAACTAAGTGGATTAACTAATCAGCACTTAATAGTTTTGATCTTGATCTCATTTATTGAAAAATTACCTGTGTCACATTGATTTATTTGGGATTGGTTTCAGTGGAACTTGGCAACTCTAATTGATGAAGGAAGATACCAGAAGTCCTCAACATATGACCACAATTGAGCCCAGAATTTCCATTGCCAAGCAAGATAGTTGTTAAGTGAGCTTTTCCCCATTTTACAACCTTTCTTGCCACTGTTGTTAAGTGAATCACTACAGTTTTAAGTAAGTTACATGGTTGTGAAGTGAATCTGGCTTCCCCGTTGATTTGACTTGTCAAAAAGGATACAAAGTCACAAAAGGTGATCACATGATCCCGGGACATTGTAACCATCAAGAATACATGCCAGTTGCCAAGCATCTGAATTTGGATCATGTGACCACAGGGATGCTTCAGTGGTCGTAAATGTGAAAAATGGTCATAAGTCACTTTTTTTCAGTAACGTAACTTCAAATGGTCACTAAATGAATGGTTGTAAGTCAAGGACTACCTGTACAAGATTTTTAAATATGCTCATAATCTTTCTTTTTTATGAAGGTATTCTTTAAGTCAGTAACCTTTTGAACATTTTCTCTACTGTTAAAATAGGAGAATCGTTTTGCTGAAAAAAGTGAAAATTACAAAAAATACTGCACAAAAATATCCATTGTCTGGAACCTTGGCTGTGAACTTCATATGAAAGGATTTCTCTTCTTGTGTAGATAGGTTTACAGAAGGCAAAGAGAATAAAAAAGTACTGTTCTGGTTACCAAACCAAATTTGTGAGGTCACCATATAAATTTGAATTTTTCTATAAACCAACAAAATAAGCAGTTGAATTAATAGCTGAAATTTGTTTTAAATCTTGTTTAGAAGAAGGGAAAATAAAATCTAATGGATACTGTAGCAGTTATTTCTAACAATAATACTCTGAAAAACATGTTAAAAAGTTGTATTGCACTCTATATCCAGAATACTTAAATAAATATAATGTTCTATTCCAGAATTGTTGATCTTATAGCATACTTAATTAATAGAAATTATCACTGGGAGAAATTAACATTTTGAGTCTGTTTTCCAAAACTCTTTAGGCTCAAATACACCCATTCCATATTTTGGTTGCATTAGAAAACTATAAAGGAGAGCGTGGTTATCGGGGAAAACTACGCTGGCAACCAGAGAAGGACATCTTGGAAGCTCTAGATACTTCATTTTACAAGTCCTTCAAGGTAATTGTTATGAATACTTTCAGTATCAGTCTGAAGCATTTAAGCAATATCTCTTTAGGAAAATTTGGATTTTGACAATAAAGGCTAAAAGCAGAATGATAAATGTTCCTAGGATTTTTGTTTTTCAGTATTCTTATGAGCAGTCTATAACAATCTAGGCTGTAGTCTTCCTTTCCCCCCCTGTTTAAGACTCATGGAGATTTAGTCTACAAATTATGCTGTGCTTGATTGCCTCAGCTATATTCCTACATTTGGGGAAAGGTAGTAGTGGTAGATTAGTACCCTCTTCTCATATATCTGTATTATATTATTTTTGTCATCAGCTAGAAGTACTAGTTTCTAGTGTCACAGCTATAAAAAGTCATTTAATTAAAAAAAATGTTAAAAAACGTGTTCTGACTTCTTTCCCTTCATTGCCTCTTTCTTAGGCATTAGAACCAATGGGAAAGCGTATCTTAGTTGCAGTTGATGTTAGTGATTCTATGTTGCAAAAGGTTTTTGGTAGTGTGCTGAATGCTAGTACCATTGCTGCAGCAATGTGCATGGTAAGAAACGTCTCATTTTTATGATATTTTTTTGGTCCCAAACTTTGGGATATGATGGCATTGTTCCAAGATTGAATAGATTGTAATTTGGTAAAACCTAGAATACCTGCCTCATTATAATATGATTTTAAAACAAAACTGTGACAAACCTACCCATGTAAAATCTACATAGATATTAATTCCAATTCCACTTATTTCTTCAAATATAAATCAAACTTCTGTTTTATTTATCCTTTTTATTTTTGGATAACATGGTCAACATTTTCCAAACGTATACAAGGATGTATTTCTTCTGATGTCTCCCAAATGTCTCTGTGTGTTTAGAATTTGAGTGACTTAATAGCTGGACAGTAGCCTTACTACTCAGTCTTGTCACGTCACTTGTCTACAATACATAATTTTCCTGTTGCTCAAATTAGAGCAGGTAGCAAAGCGTTTTTACAGTGATTAATGCCTCCTGTACTAAAATAAGTGTTTGGCCAAGATGATGTATCCCATCAATCCCTGTTCTACAAGTCAAGAAGGAACCATTGTGCAAGATTTGGTAATCTGATTTTCAGCACTTGTACCCTAAGAAAGAAAGAAAGAAAAATAAATAAATAAATAAATAAATTTAAGAAAGTCTTGGAGAAAGGACTAGGATATGGTGGAGAATTAGAAGAGGAATGTATTAGAATAGAAAAGGCTTATGGGAACAGCTATTTCACATTTGAAAACCACAGAAAGCTTAGGCTACCGAAATGCTTTTTATTTGAAGAGACAGGAAAATAACATTCTATCTTTACCTTCGATCATTTGGTTTTTACCAGGTTGTGGCACGCACTGAAAAAGATTCCCACATTGTTGCATTTTCCCATGATATAGTTCCTTGTCCTGTGACTGAGGATATGACTTTACCACAAGTATTACAGAAAATGTCTGAGGTACCTAATATTCTTAAAGTAACCCTGTAGTTTTATATGAGAATAGTTCACTTAATGAATTTTTCATTAAAAGTGTTTACTAAGTCTTAAACATGTAATTCTTTTTTATGGAAGCATAGAAGGAAATAAAATACATAAGAAATTAGGGGAAAATCAATGATGAACTTTAATGGTAATATTAAAATATTAAGGGTAGATGCAGAAGAGGATGGAAATCAGCACTGGATTTGTGAAAGATCTCTTGGTAATAATCTTTTTTTTAAAGAAAATACGGAATCTGAATGGACATGAAAATATTGCTGGGCAAACTAGTATTCTCCATTTCATGTCATGCAGCCTTCTATAAACTTTGCCCATCCTAGACATAGAATCATATATGTTTATATGCTGCGTGGACTGTGGATTTGTCTGTGCATGTGTGGGAGATGAAGAAGGTTGCCACTAAATTAATCCTCAGGCCAGAGAGTTTTCTCTGTGAACAGCAATTCTGTAACTTGTATGGGTTACCTATAATACTGCTTTGCTATGTACCTTTATTTGTCTGTCAGTTTGGCATCTCCAGAGGATGGGCTCAATGGACAAGTAGTGCAGGTTTCTGTCTGAAACTGCACTGCTATTGCAAATCACAGGAGACATTGGTTCAATGGGAGAAAAAACAATTTAGCTGGCATTTGATCACTTCCCAAGGAAAATATCATTCTCTATATCGAAATACTACCCAAACTCTCATGTTTATAATCTTTAGTTGAACGATATGATGCAACATAGGACAAAACGTTTCCAACCAAGGTACCTCAACTGGGTTAAGTTACAAAATACTGTGACTTCTTACTCCGAGGGAATGAAATTTGGGGAAGTTGTAGCTGCCTCGGTACTGCTGCCATCGTGCTGTTGAGACAATGTAATCATCACTTTCAACATTCCTTGACAGCTTCTGGCACTCTCTTATTCCCTTCCCCACTCAACAGTAGTGACTTATTAGCCTTATCAGGAAGGGAGAAAGGATGGAAAAGGGAGGGAGGGAGGAATAAGGAAAGAAGGAAGATAGGTAGGTAGATTGGTTGGTTGGTTTCCAATGTTGACTGCTGGCTTGCAAAAACGAAAATCAATGGGAAAGTCAACAGAAAGAGAGATGTTATTCCCATTCCCATTGAGTGTTTGCCCATCCATGGTCATTCTATTTATCTAGGTAAGGAAATATCTCTGAAACAGTGACCCAATAGGTCACAGATTGTCTGGTAGAATATATATGTTACCATCAATGTGTGAAATTAGGTATTTTATAGAATGTCTAAGAAATCTATAGAATGACAAAAATGGGATAGCAAAGTATGAAACACCTAATATTTTATGCATTTTCTAGGCATTCTATGCAATGCCCAAAGGCAAACCAGCAAAGTATAAAATTCCTACTAAAATGCCATTCTTGCCTTCCTTGTTGCAACAAACAAGTCAACACTAGTCTTTTTTTCTTTTCTTTTCTCTTTTCTTTTCTTTTCTTTTCTTTTCTTTTTTTCTTTTCTTTTTTGATAAGAAAATCCTGTACTTTGTTTTTTATTTTATTTTTCTTCTTTCATTTTCATAAAACCTTTTCAATAAAAGATTAAGATTAAGCCTAATCCTAACCCTTTTCATGACTTTCTTTTCATACTTTGCCTAAATAGTGCTTGTTATTCTGCATAATGCAGAGTATTATATACAATGCCTAGGGAAAGTGTATAGCATATTAAAATAACAGATATTTCATACTTTGTGTAAAGACATCACTCTTTCTATAGATTTCCTAAGCAATCTATAAAATGCCAGTTTTTCACACATTGCCGGTAACATATATATAACAACACAATTTGCAATCTTAAATGTAAACTTCAATTCCCCTTCCCTTTGCTAGTTCCCAGGCAGAAAAATTGCTAAGTTAAAAAGCTATATAATTTTTGCTGTCTTGTTTGGATCTTAATATTTTTTTTACTTATAGATTCCAAGGGGTGCCACCAATTGTTCTGCTCCAGTGCTCTGGGCCCAAAAGACAGGTGTAGCAGTTGATGTTTTTATTATCTTCATGGATAGTGAGACCTTTGCTGGAGATGTTCATCCTGCCACAGCGTTGAGACAGTATAGAGAGGTAAATATTCTTTAAATAATGCAAAATAAGAAAAACGTTTCTTTATAAAGTTTTTCCTTCTTAAGGTAGCTGCCAGCTTTCTGAAGATTTATGTTATAACAGAACCAGATTTATGTTATAACAACCATTTTCTGGAATTGTTTTGGGTAAACAATATAATTATAATCTTAAAGTAGAATGAAATACACACATATATATATAGTTATTTCTTTAATATTGTATTCAGTGAATGCTAGTTTAGTCCTGTTTATATTAGTGTTAAATCAGCACTGCTTGTGGCTTTCTAGCTATCTGCACTAGTGATCTGATCTAGAAGTATACTGGGCTCACATAAGTGATCCACAAGTGGAACAGTGCTTGTTATTGGATGCAAAAAATGCTACTTAAGGACAAAGCAGCAAGAATGAGCAGTACTAAGAAAAGGACTATCACAGATAAGACAGAAAGTATACTTTTAAGAAAAAGTCAGTATATTTCCCCCATTTGCCTCATTCAGGTCTCCCTAGTTGTAATCGTCTGGGTTCAAAAATCTTGGCAAAATACTGAGAAAAAGTAAGACTTCCCACTTCGTAAGAAGATGACAAAAATATGGATTGTGGACTTCAGTAATAAAAGTCTTTAGGACTTGGCTTTTATAAATAATTCATTGTTTTATAAGTATACTCTGAAAAAAGAATTTCTCTCTTTTTTATCTATTTATAGGGAATGGGTATTCCATCCAAGTTAATTGTTTGTGGAATGACATCCAGTGGCTTTACTGTTGCAGACCCAGATGACAGAGGGATGCTGGATATTTGTGGTTTTGATACAGGAACACCCATTGTCATTCAAAACTTCATTTTGGATTTGATCTAAACCTGTGAGCACTCGCTTTTCTAAAGCTCTTAACTTCCTGAAGAATTGACTAGGGGACCTATCAATTGCATTAACAAGACTTTATTAATTCAAGGCTAAATTTCATACTTCCTTTGGAGTATTAACATTTTAAAAGAGATGTAAAAACAGCCATTGGCAAACTCTACTTTCTGAACATACTGTTTACATCTGTTGTGCATAATTCTAGGTTTCCTATTGGTTTTTAGAACTAAATATGGAATACAGTGAATGCTTTTAATTTTTTATATTAGTTTAACTATGACAATGTATTCCATTACTGAAGATTTTATTTTCCTAGAATGAATTTATTGTGTTAATCACAGGGAATCAAAGGATGAGACGTCTTCATCTTTTTACACTGTTTCAGGTTAATTAACAACTGTTTGATTGGAATAACTTATTCGACTATCTGGGAAAAATGAGCCACATATGCACTACAGGTTATATTACTTCTATCATTACCCATTAGTTCCTATTACTTTATGGAACACTTACCACTGACAACTTGATGCTCTCCTTGTTTTTAGCAGATATTTTGTATTAAGCAATGTTGGAAAATTTGGAAATAACAGATCATTCCCAGGGATATTGATTTGCTGAATATACTTTACCCTTCTAAACTCTTGTTCTAAAAAATGGTCTTGCAAAAACCATCGATTTTGTGCACATTATAGTCTAACTCAATGTTTCTCAAATTTGACAACTTTAAGATGTGTAGATTTCAACTCCTAGAATTCCCTAACCAGCAAATTGCCAAGTTTGAGAAACACTGATCAAACTGGTCTATGTTTTATTTCCTGACAATGGATAGTAGGTTTCTCAAGCAAGCTTTTTTAATAGAATCAGAAAAAAATACTTTCTGATGTTCTTTATAGAAAATGTGATTTATCATATCACTTAAAGTAAGAGGAGAAAAAGGCAAAAAGAAGCAAAGATAGGTGTTATTACTAAAGGTAGCCATATTCATGTGTTACTTGTAAAACAGTTATACAATAAATCAGAAATGGACACACATTTCTAGCTCCGCCTTAACATGATGACTGATCTGTCTTTCTGTACATATTAACATTTGTAAAATAGTCTTTTTGTGTTGGCATATCTACTTAAATGTAGAGATGCTGTGAGAGCAAGATAGCTGATTATATGTTGTTTTAATTTATATAAACTCTGCACATGAAAAATTGGTAAAACATAGAGCTTTGTTGCTCAAATTCTGTGCTCAATGAATGGGTCTTACAAACAGGACCTAAAATACTTTTATTCCTGCCTTACCATCAGGCTGATTTGCATAGGGATTATATGTTCCTAAAGCATGTAATTTAATGACATTTGCCCTTTGTTAATTTCTTTGTGTCCTAATGCAAGGACTATCACTGCTGGTAGGCAAAACAAGATTAAGGCCAGCTGCAGAATTTTAGCTGTTTCCACAATTCTTTTGGCAAGGAGATAACCTGTTGCTGATCTGAACTTGGCATTCCAGTTGGGCCTGCTGGGAGTTGTATCATTCCAGATGTTGCTGATCTCCAAATTGTCCATCTTTGTCCGAGAAAATAAGCTCATGTAAACAGTACATTCTCTTTTAATTGAACAGAAGAGTTATAAGGTAGTAAATCGATGGGCTGAGCAAGAAAGAAGAAGTTTATATGAAAGCCCGTTTCACAACTCATGTTGCTGTTCCTTCTCTTCCTATATTATAGTCCCATACCAAACAGCCCATAAATCAGGAAACCTTTCTGTGTCATATGAACAATAAGACTTCTTAACTTAATGCATGAATTTCCAGCTTGGTACAAAAACACTCTTCTTGGTTTGGGCAGTTCTCCTTTGCTGCAATTCTATATTACATGCAGTAGCAGGAAAATCAGGAAAACAATTATGGCAGTGTTTACTGTAATGCAGGATTGGCAAACTGGTGAAGAGGAAAACTAACCAAGTTCGACTAGCCAAGTCACAGAAGACTTATTAGCTACATTTTCATTTTCATTGAGCATGTGGTGCTTGCAGACAAATTTGTCACTAAGCCAGGCTTAATGGGGCATTGTGACCAATGAACATATCCTTTGCCTTTGAAAAAACATTATTCATTGACTTAGAAAATTGAGGAACATGTTAGTGCTGAATGGAGAACCTTTCCTCCTCTCTGTTCTGTTAAAGTGCACTTCCTGGCCTCCATCATTAGCTAGATTTATAATTTAATAACATCTGGAAAGAAGCATTTTTCCACCTTTGGCTAATGTATGCATAGTGTACATTTGTAGTAGCATACATTCTGGAACCAAATCCCCTTAATGAATTCAAGTTGATAATCTTATAAACAATTTGTAATCAAGATTGTGACATTTGTCTACTTCTTCCCCAAAGAGTTTTACCGTGTACTTATGATAGCTGTTCACATTTTTTCATAATTCCAGACATAATGTATACCATTTTTTTTAGATAAAAGTGGCTAGAGAAATTGCTTTGACTCAGTTTTCTCCAACTTGGATGGGAGGTGGTAGAAACACAGCACATTAGGTGAAGTTATGGAAAGCTCCTGATGCTCAATGAAAAGTGCCAAAAGAATGACCCAGATTATGTTTACTGGGCAAAATTTTGCACTGCAGGTTATAGAATCTGATACTAAATAACAAGTGATGATACAGGCTTGTAATATTTGTTTGCTTGGAAGATTTGTTGATTAAACTTTCCCCAACTACTTCAGCTCTCCTGTCTGCAGCAAATTTGCACTAGAGAACTGGGGCATTTTGTAGCAGATACTGGAGTGGATAGAAGGGAGATATTTTTTTTTTATACAAGTCCTTTCATGCAGCATTTGGATGTAATTTGGTAGAAGCAGCATGCCTACTTTAGGTAGCTAAAATCTTTAAAAAGCCCTAGAATAATACTGTCAGACTAATGATCAATTCTTGGTATAGTTAGAGAAGAGGAGGTTGTTTTGGAAATGCTGTTCTGTAGTTATTCTTCTGTCTTTTACAGAAGTAGCAGTTGATCAACAGCTGCTCTATTAAAATCATGGATTTTAAATAATTTGTAGCTGTATTGACCTTTCTGTAAATTATCTTTATTAAAGAATATTTAAATATCTAAAAGGGTTTCTACAGTGCCACACAAGGCATTTTACCTTGGGTAATAATGTGTGCTCTAAACTAGTTTTCTTGTCTATTTTTTGAGGGGATTCTTACTGCATTTCCTATTTAACTGTAAAAAAATAAAGATCATGGTTCGTATTATTATTATGACTCATTTTTGAGAGAGATGTTCAACATAATGTAATACACCCAACTGATGTATAGATACTACAGACAGCTTCTGACAAGTATAAAAATATTGCTGAGCCTGGAAAGAGTTGCTACACATAAATATGAATTGTAATTATAAATGCGTGGCTTTTAAAACACTTGCAAAGATCTAATTATAGTTGTGATTTATAGAATAAGTTAATTGTATAAGTGGAAACTGACCTAAGTCACTGTATAGGTCTTTTGCCATTGATTCATTTAGAAGGATTACAACTATACTTACATCATATTTCTACCCATGGTGGCGCGGTGGTTAGAATGCAATATTGCAGGTTAATTCTGCTGTCTGCCCCAGTTCAGCATTTCAAGTCTCACTGGCTCAGGGTTGACTCAGCTTTCCGTCCTTCCAAGGTCAGTAAAATGAGGAACCAGATTGTATGCTGACTCTGTAAACTACTTGGAGAGGGCTGTAAAACACTCTGAAGCGGTATATAAGTCTAAGTGCTATTGCTAATCTCTTTATAAATGGTTGTGCTGTTTTTAGTTCCTTTATGGAGAAATGCCAATACTAGAATAATGAAATTTTTAAAAATCAAAATGTATAATTTACATAGATTTGTGGGAAAGCTATAACAGGGTGCATAAATTTAGTTTAAAGCTCCAGGATCAATATAAAGATATGTCCTGCAAAAGTATTTTGATCTGAAATGTTGAATGTAGAACATATTTCCTTCCATTTTTTAAATGACTTTTATGACTTTTCTTCCATTACAAAAAATGTTGGCCTCCTGACCCAGGAGAATTGGACACTTATTTTTTTTAAGGACATATACAAATCAAAGCCTTTCTTCAAATCTTTGCCTAAGATCCAAAGGTTTTTCATCCTGATTTACTTTCCTCACGAATGAATGAATATATATATATATATATCATACATATATAACTAGAAGTAACATATTTGGGTTCTAATGTTTAAAAAATATTTATCCTTTATATATTCGTTTCATTTTTAAAAATGTTGATTATATGCCACTGAATAATATAGTTATACTAACTTGCCTGCTAAAACACATTTGTTCAATCTACTTTAAATTACTTTTTTCAACAAGCAAGTATTGTAATAGCAAATTGTTATAAAAATAGTAAAATGTAAGTATTAGTGTTTTGTACAGTTATGCTAGTTTTGGTATTAAAATGAAATTGTTTTTTTTTTTCCAAATCATATTGCAGAAGCAGTGGTGGAATAAGTAAGGTAATAGGAATAGAATAGCAGCTGTAATAAATGAGGTATCAATTTTATTCCCTTATCCTAACCTTTTTTTTCATTCTTTTCTGTGCTCTCGATTGATATATCAATAACAGATAGGTGACTTCATTTTATCTTTTATCCATAATGTTACTTATGTTTTAGATTAGGAGAGCCTCTTAAATGGTGGTAGTAGGAGTTAAAACGGAAAGTGGAGTTTGCTAGGTTTGAGCAGAACATGTTTACTGAAAGAGAAGAGGCCAAGGAGTGGGGAGTAAGGGATGATGATAGGGTTAACTTGCATGTATCCATGGATAAATAATCCACTTTATTTAAATCACTTTTGACAATAGATGTTAGTAATATGAAATAAAAGAAATACTTTGTGTATTGGACAGAAGGTGCTATGAAAGAGAGTGCAAGATGAAGTGGGACCTTAAAAGCATTGCATACTTCAAAACTGAATCCATTCTGTGTTCAAAATGGATGTGATTATAGGTTTTAATTGCAATGAAATACTTTTTCAATTAATTTGTTATAGCCAATACAATATGACTTTCCCCTTCTCTCTGCCCCTTTTGACTATACCCCAAATTTGCTTTAGACCAGGGATGTCAAACTCGCATCATCATGTGATGTATCATGACTCCCCCCCACCCCCGCTTCGCTACACCGGGCATGGGTATGGCCAGCTAATGATGCTTCCGGCTTTAGACAGTTCCTCAACTATACAAAGCAGAATTGGAGAGGAAAGAAGGAATTCATTTGTGTGTGTTATTCCTTCAATGGCAGAGACCATTACCTCCAAATTGATACGATTATATCTATCTATCATCTATCTATCTATCTATCTATCTATCTATCTATCTATCTATCTAAAGATTTTAATTTTTGTAAGTCCTTCTCAATTAATTAAAAGAGATTCAAGGCTGTTTCATTAAAGGAAATATGGATAACTGCATAAATACAAGGACTAGTGGACTTTAAATGGAGCATTAGAAAAAATGAGACCAAAGTTCCTGTTTGATGATCAGATTGTAGAATAAATATAACTTTAAAAGTAAAAAAGATTTAGCAGGAAATTATTGTAAAACAGATAAATTTGATCATTTTTAAATTGGAAATGAGCAGATATTAAATACTGTGCTAAGCTATCAGCACAGCTAATACATTATATTAATTTGCTTTCCCCCTCCTAATTCTGTGTATCCTGTGTACTAATCCAAGTAAAGTCCTATTCATATTGGTCCATAATTGCCTTGTTTGCTTGCACCATTCCAAAGTTTCATTTGAGAATTGTGTATCCTAAGAACTTACAAGCTTGTTGAAATATTAATACACAGATAATTGTTTATTTCCAACCATTTTTATGTTTCACATAGTAAGTAGGTATTGTTTTCAACATCTCATTTCTCTACGAGAGAGAATGTTGGGTTCAAAGTCACCCAGCTGCCTTCACTGCTCTCTTATTCTTTCATTACCACTTTAACACAACTTTACTTAAAAGTTTTAACTGAATCTGAAAGCCACCATTTACTCTGGTAATGACTCTAACTCATGTGTGACACTCAAATGTACTTCCTGCCCACATCAGCTTAATTCCACTCCACCTTGTTTGTTTTAGTGATTGCTGCTGTCTCTTTCAAGAGTGCCTCTTGTAATATCTTTTTTTCCCCAATAGCCACTGTTCTGGTTTTTGAATTAGCATTTAATGCCATTTAAATTATAGATTGTACCTTTAGCTTAATGCAAATGAAACAATTTATATTGCCAAAGGGTGCTGGGGGTAATGTGCTGAATATTCTGGTACATTCTCTAAATCCCAATTCAATTTAATTTGAATTCATCACAAAAGTTGAATTCTGTTTAGTGCTCACTATGAGTATTATTTCTAACTATTTTTTATGCAAAATGTGTGGTTATAGGCCTGGTTTTGAATTCTGTATTCACAATCAGTGAATCAAAGTGTCATCTTCACAATAGGTCTATAATACCTTGATCCGGTGATCTTTTACAGGCATATAGGAATTATATTGATCTTTTAAAACTTTTTATTATATATGCCAAAAACTCACTGACATTACAAAACTGATAGTAGTCCTTCACTTATAACGATTCATTTAATGACCATTTGAAGTTCAATTGGCACAGAAAATGACTTATGATCATTTTTCACGTTCAAAACCATTGTAGCATCCCTGTAATCACATAATCAAAATTTGGATGCTTAGTAATTGGATGTATTTATGATGGTTGCAGTGTCCCACAGTCATGTGATCACCTTTTGCGGACTTCTGATAAAGTCAATGGGGAAGCCAGATTCACTTAATAACTGTGTTACTAACTTAACAACTGCAGTGATTGACTTAACAACTATGGCAAGAAATATAATGAAATGGGGCAAAATTCACTTAACTATTTTGCTTAGCAGTGGAAATTTTGCATCATAATTCGACTACCTGTATCTTGTTGAATACAATGTAAAATACTTCTCACTGCAATCTGTACAAAATATGTAATGAAAAATTGAGCACCCCATTTGGTAGGCATTTGTGTGATATATGTTGAATAGGTAATCAAGAATACTTGATAAATAACCCATGCCAAGTGTTTGTTTCCATTGCACTAAAAATGTATGATCTAGCTATGTTATTGCGTGAAGTTATGCTTGAATATAAGGCATTGTAAACTACCGTCTCAAAAAGAAGACCAATAATTTAATTGTTCTTGTAAACAGATAATGTCAAGGAAGAATCTATGAATTCTATATTTGCTGGAATGGCAGAGATTAGTTAAAAGATGCTAACTTAGGAAATAAACTGATCTTGCATTTGTACTTTAAGTTGAATCAACAGCAAAATAATACTCAATGTTTTAATTCTTCAGTGAAATATTACTGTATAGTACATTAGTATGGAATATGCAACACGTGGGTTCAACTGGCCGTCTGTACATATTTGTACAATATGTAGTTCAATTGAAATGTTGCCTAATATTTATATCTAGATACTCACATTGTGCTGTTAAAAAAATTGATGGGTAGATTCTTTGTAATAGGGTGAGATTTAATTTTTGGTTGTGAAGGGGAAAGAATTTTACTTTGATCAAGCGTCACCATTGCTTTTAGAAAGCCTTAAACATGATAATAAGAAATGAAAGTCATTTGTATCTGTAGATGTATAAATTTTTCCCAGAATAACTTTACTGTTTGCATAAAGTTGATCCATTCTGAGACCGGAGAGTACACACTATGTTGGAAAAGGCTCATAGTTACTGAAATATTTTTTTGTGCAACAAGGATTTTAAAAATGTAATATTTTGAAAACACCATTATTGTAGTTTTACCAGGACATCACAGCATCATCTATTGTTTGTACTATATACAATATGTATTATCTTTAAGTGGCTATCTATATACTACATTGTTAACATTTTGAAAAAAAATGTACCTCTTTAGCTTCAGTGAGTTTTCGAAGAAATGTTGAAGCAGAAATATTGTGAAATGTACATTTTTAAATTTAGTATGGAAATTTTGACTTGTTTGATTGATAAAATTACTGAAGAGGGTTACAAAGAATTTTACAAAACTTAAATCTGACAGTAAGAAACAATGCAGATATGCAGTTATCTATGAATTTTTTGTATATTAAAGATATACTATACCCTTTAAAATAAAAAGAATGTCAATCAGTTAATTAACTTATTTCTTTAAACTTGTACTATGGAAATAAATTTCAATGTTTGGCTTGTATAACCAGTTGTAAGATGCTACTTATCACTCCAAAGGGCAAAAGCAGGTAATTTGTGGGAGCAAATGTGACCTAGATACAGTGCAGCCCTGAGAATAATTTGACAATTAAAGGATTGTTTGAACCAGCAGATATTTTGGTCCAGATCACAAAATTCTTTCTACTCTTCCACTTCTGATGCTGTTACCCTTGGGTATCAGAATTTTAATGAGGAGTAACAGTATGGAAAATATTATTAGAAGGATTCAATCTTTGTTCCTCTCATTAGAATCATGTTCTTCTGAAGCTCATTACATGTTTTTTTTTTTAAAAAAAGCAAAACAATGCCTTTACTGCCAAAATGTTGCAATAAACAATTGAGTTTTCCACTTTAAAATAAACAGCCCTGGGTTTTTGTTTAAAGAGTAACAGGTTTTTAACTAAGAAAACAATCTATTAATAAACATAATCTGAGAAGAGGGGGTTTGTTAGTTACCATCGTTTTGAATAAATGACTGTTTTCAGTTAGAAGTGTCAATGAAATGTTCCTAAGTGTTTTATGCTTTGTAGAACAAGTGCAAAATAAATTCTATGTACCTCATCATTTACCTTTAATGATGTCACAATCTGCACCACCACTAATGTAATATGTGGTTAAAAAGGTGAGCTGGAACTGAGGTTCTATGAATGCTGGATGCGTGCTTCAATTTCACATGGATGCTTTTATTCTTAGCATTTGTTTATAAGTTCTTAAGCATTTAGTTGCTTGGGATATGTGTGTGTGTGTGTGTTTATGTATGTATGTATGTATATATATGTATGTATGTGTATGTATGTATGTATGTACGTACATATATGTATATATATATACACACACACACACACACATACACACACACACACACACTGCTCAAAAAAATAAAGGGAACACAAAAGACATCCTAGATCTGAATGAATGAAATATTCTTATTAAATACTTTGTTCATTACATAGTTGAATGTGCTGACAACAAAATCACACAAAAATTATCAATGGAAATCAAATTTAGCAACCCATAGAGGTCTGGATTTGGAGTTACACTCAAAATTAAAGTGGAAAAAAACACTACAGGCTGATCCAACTTTGATGTAATGTTCTTAAAACAAGTCAAAATGAGGCTCAGTAGTGTGTGTGGCCTCCATGTGCCTGTATGACCTCTCTACAATGCCTGGGCATGCTCCTGATGAGGTGGTGGATGATCTCCTGAAGGATCTCCTCCCACACCTGGACTAAAGCATCCCACAACTCCTGGACAGTCTGTGGTGCAAGGTGGCGTTGGTGGATGGAGTGAGACATGATGTTCCAGATGTGCTCAATTGGATTCAGGTCTGGGAAACAGTCCATAGCATCAACGCCTTCGTCTTGCAGGAACTACTGACACACTCCAGCCACATGAGGTCTAGCATTGTCGTGCATTAGGAGGAACCCAGGGCCAACCGCACCAGCATATGGTCTCACAAGGGGTCTGAGGATCTCGGTACCTAATGGCAGTCAGGCTACCTCTGGCGAGCACATGGAGGGCTGTGCAGCCCCCTAAAGAAATGCCACCCCACACCAGCAGAACGTTCTCCATGGCGTCTCCAGACCCTGTCACATCTGTCACATGTGGTCAGTGTGAACCTGCTTTCATCTGTGAAGAGCACAGGGCGCCATTGGTGGATTTGCCAATCTTGGTGTTCTCTGGCAAATGCCAAATGTCCTGCACGGTGTTGGGCTGTAAGCACAACCCCTACCTGTGGACGTCGGGCCCTCATACCACCCTCATGGAGTCTGTTTCTGACCATTTGAGCAGCCACATGCACATTTGTGGCCCGCTGGAGGTCATTTTGCAGGGCTCTAGCAGTGCTCCTCCTGTCCCTCCTTGCACAAAGGCGGAGGTAGCGGTCCTGATGCTGGGTTGTTGCCCTCCTACAGCCTCCTCCACGTCTCCTGATGTACTAGCCTGTCTCCTGGTGGCACCTTCATGCTCTGGACACTACGCTGACAGACACAGCAAACCTTGCCACAGCTCGCATTGATGTGCCATCCTGGATGAGCTGCACTACCTGAGCCACTTGTGTGGGTTGTAGACTCCATCTCATGCTACCACTAGAGTGAAAGCACCACCAACATTTAAAAGTGACCAAACCATCAGCCAGAAAGCATAGGAACTGAGAAGTGGTCTGTGGTCACCACCTGCAGAACCACTCCTTTATTGGGATGTCTTGCTAACTGCCTGTGCTTTCCACCTGTTGTCTATTCCATTTGCACAACAGCATGTGAAATTGATTGTCAATCAGTGTTGCTACCTAAGTGGACAGTTTGATTTCACAGGTGTGATTGAATTGGAGTTACATTGTGTTGTTTAAATGTTCCCTTTATTTTTTTGAGCAGTGTATATTAGTCTGTATGTATGTGGGTGGATGGGTTGGTTGGTCTCTGAGCTTTCTATATCTGATCACTTGTGATCTGTGAGAAAGAGAAATTTGGAGGCAAAACATGCTATAATCCCTTTAACTTTATATTTTTAGATTAATAAAACTGTTAATCAGGTTTACCACTAAGAAACATATAATTTGTTGCTCCATTCACAGCTTGACATTTATTTATTTGGAAATTTTAAATTGCCGCCTATTCACTCATGGTGACTCAAGTTGGCTTATAGGAAATATATAACTGAAAATAGTGGGAAAGGGGAATGCAGGATGAAGGGACAAAAAAAGATAAAAACATTAACTTCTGACTCTTCTGTGCAGTAGAATGAACATAACATTACAGCCTCAACTTTTTACTTTTCATACTCAATATATACTAGTTATTTCCATTTTTAAAAACCTTGTCTAATCAGTAAATCCCAAAATATTTTTTTAATCTCAACACAAAATCTAGACATGGTTTCCAGACAGAAACAAAGTTAGATGTATTCTCTTTAATTAAAACAGTTAATTTGGCCATTACAGTACTATTTCTTATATCCCATCATTGTTTTTTAAATTTGTAAATGTTTTAGGATATAATATTTGACTGAAAAGTAGAAATCAAAAAACCACTCTGGTTCTTTATAACATAAGCATGCAGCTTATAATGCAGTTAATCATAACACATGGATGTAAAATTCTAATATTTGGTACTATTTAATGCAAATATATTACACAAAGAGAAACATTAAGTCACAATCCTTTTTTTCATATACCCATAAAGTACCATTTCATAAACATCAATCCAATTGCAAGCCACAAAGAGGTCATGTTTTCAAGCAGCTTTGATAATGTGTCATTTAACAATCTAGACATACATTTACAAAAAATTCTTGTCACTTTGGACAAGAACAATTTTGAAAACATTCACCCATCTGTAAATAATTTACTAGCATCTGCTACATATAGCTGATGATGTGCTTTTTACCTAATTAGAATTAGATACCTAATTCCAAAGTCCTTCATGTTTTTTGTTGTTAAAGGGTGATTCTGACACACTGTCAAAATAAACTGTAATATTAATCAGGCAAGGATAGATTAGCTTGGACATATTTAAACTGGGAAAAGGGCAGGGATGGTGTCTACTGAGAATGAACACCGATTTTACAGAATTGTACTTGCTAAGCACAAAGACTAGTAAATTGACAGTGAAAACTTCAGTTGTATACATGTAGGTTCAAGCGAAGTAGAGGTACAAATAAAGTAGAACTTCAGCATATATAAAACTAGTATATATCTCATCCAAAATGGCTTATTCAATCTATATTCTCTGCTTTCTCCAGAGCTACTTTTTGCCAATGTGCTGGCATTCCCTTTCTATAAATCTTTAAAAAGAGGCAGAGGCCTTCTTTGTATTTAACTGCATAAAGATTCATTTGCTGCAGCTAACCAGAAGTTCAAGCTCCAAGATGAGAGGGAGCAAATAAAAAGGAGGAGATATGTTGAAGAGAAGGAAATAACTGAGTTCAGCTTCTCCCTTGCCAATGACTGCTTTATCTGCATCCCAGTGTCTTATTTCCAGCATTCCATCTGCTGATTTTGTATTGTCCAAGTCTCTCTTCACTTTTTCTGTTTGCTATACCAACTTGCCAATGCCCAATTTCTTGAAAGAAAGGGGGCACACACAAACAATATAGCTGATTACTGTGGAGGTGCTCATAGGTATGCCAAAATCATCCTGGGAAGTATTGCTATATGTTTCCGTGCAGTTGGCATAGCTCTTAAACTTAGTTTCCAGAATTAATTTAATATGATAAGGTTTATTGTAGCACTTGTGTGCCTAGCTTCTTAGTTTTCTACCAGGAACCCCTGTACTGTTTCAACCTATGTATTTAATGGCCAATATATTTTGGGACAATTCAAAGTTACTGAAGCATTTTTGTACAGATAGGTTGCTAAAGTGAAATCTGGGTTTATAAATTAAAGATTGTCACATTTTATTTAAAAAATCAAGGAAAACCAGATGAATGTACTGAGTTTCTCTCTCTTTGGATCTGGCATTGATAAACTAATGGAAGGAGTTTACCCTCCCTGTGAAGTTGCTGCGTATCTGTAGCACCTCCGACAAAGTTTCCATTGATAAATATTCTGGGAACCTGTTGAATATAAAGAAATGAATTTTATAAGCATATTGTTCAAGCATGGGTGTAATACACTATAGTACCTGTGTTTCTACTTATATTATTAAGTAGAATAATACTGCTTCTACTTATATTATTAAGGAATCCAGGGAGATATTCTTTCAAAAATTGAAGGAATAAGACTCTGTAAAAAACCTTGAGACTTGCAAGAAGTTAGTGGCTTTTCTTTAACATCCAAGGGCATCATCTTACACAATCCAATCTAACTCTAGCAGTGAGCATTCTTTGGATTCTTTATTCAGATTCCCTTTGGAATTCAAGCGAAATACTAAATAGAGATAACTTTTTTTTCAAGTTAGCACTTT